GGCTGCGAGGACAGCCTCTCCATAAGCAGGCGGTGTTGGCTCTCAGCTATGTCATACACCCTGTCCAGGTCATAATCCATAGTGTACTTTAGTTCTACCACATGAATAGTCTTGAGCCCCCATTCAGGCTCCTTCGGCTGCTCCTCAATCATTGTGTCCGGGCGGCTGAGCCTGCAGCTATCGGGCTGTAGGTGTCGGCGTATTCAACCCTGTCAGGAATGGACCATTCCGAATGGTTTGTGCAACTATCAAGAACGGTGTGTCGTCGCTGGCGTCGGCGCTGGGGACCGCCTTCCCCGCGAGTTATAATCAAAATTTGAACACAACCAAACAGCCCTGCGTCGATGTGGCTGTATACTGTCCCAAAAATACAGGCACGCAGCAGAAGAGCAGTGAGTGTCTGCAATGGTGCTGCATCGTTGATGGGGGGTGGAAGAAGCTCCGCCGATGTGCAGCAATGCACCCAGGATACTCTACAATGTGTGCTTGCGTCAGATCATGCTGCCTGTGTAAGTGGCACGGTTGTCTTGCACGGGCTGCCTCCGCTGCTGCAGGCGACCCAAAACATGAAGAATACTTGGGGATGCAAGGTTTGCAACTTTTCATGTTACAGTATTGATTGAGCACATGCAATTGGCGATGACAAGTCGCACTGGCTGCGCTGCGGAGCACCATTCACAGCCATGGGACCTGGCAAGCACCTGCGGAGCTGTAGGAATCCTGACCCCCAGACCGCTTGCTTTACTTGACTTCGACCGTCACTTGAATTATCATTCACATCAACATCATTGAGTGTTGAATGCCCTTCTCACCCCGCAACCCCACACACGCAAACACCAACGGTGCAGCAGCAAGTGCTGTTGCAGCGCCGCAAGGCCCCCCACTGCCGCTATGGCGCACTCCCGGCTTCGAGCTAACGTCCCGGGAATCCCACGCTTTCCATTCAGGTGAGACCCTGGGCCAGGGCAGGGGTCCCGCGGTCAAACCGTCAGGATTGATGGGGGATGCAGGCACACACAGGCTTGTAGGGTGGTGGGTAGGTGGGTGCTAGCATGAGGCGCTTGACGACATGCAGCAACAGGTTCCAACAGCATTCAAAAACGTGCAGGCATACCTAACGCTTGGGCGAAGAAAATAATGGCAGGGGTCAAGCACAGAGATGTGGCTCAACCAATCGTCCCTCGGGACAAGGCAGGGGACACAAGTCTGCAAACACTCCGTCGTCCACAGACCCGATGTAGTCGTGGGGCGGCAGGGGGGGTGAGGCTGCCCGCGGTCGTCTTGTGGGACTTACCGCACGGCGGCCGCAGCTGCCCAAACCACCGCATTGAATGCTGCGGGCGTGAGCATAGCAGCGAAGGGTGCGACCAAAGGGGCAGCAAAAGCGACCTGCTGCCACTGTCAAGGCTTGCCATGTGCGCCGTGTCTGCCACCCTCTCTTGATTTGCTACACGGCTGGCACAAACACCAAACCAAGCCAGGGCTACAGCACAGCTTCAGAGTTACTGACAGGGCAACGCAGCTCATTCTGGCAAGGTCACGCAACCGCCACGGAGCAGGCGTGACAAGCAAGCGCTTACCCAAACGCGAAACAAGCCCCAGGCGACGTGATAACCCAGGTGCCCCACTATGATCACAAAAAGCGATATGATGCGGCCCGTTTCCAATGAGCCGACGATACAGCAGACATCGCCGCGTTGCGCGCGCAGCACCATGGTCAGACGATGCCGGCCGATGAGACGATGGCGCGCTTGAGGGGCCGGTTGAACCCCTTCTCAGCGACGGTGGCGCGCTTGTCCCCGATGGCCTTCCCTGCCTCAAAGAACGGCTGCGGTGGCAGGCAGGAGGGCCATAGGGGGAGGGGCCGTCAAAGAAGGGGCTGAACGCTCAGAACCCCGGAATCAACGCGGCGGGGCGCTGGCGAGAAGCACGATTTTCGGGTGGCAAATGGGCAGAGCGGTGGCAGGCGCAACGCGACATCACTTGCGTAAAAAGCCTCAGAGTGAGGACGTAGGCAGGAAACTTGTCCGAACGTGCAGGCATGCTGCCTGAACCTCTCACACAGGTGACCTCGGCCCAAGGAAGCAGCACATGCAACAGGACAGTCACCCACACAACCACGCGGCCCCCTCCACGTCCCCCCCCCTCAGACCTTATCGAACCAGTCGTCGCGCGGCTTGGCCCGCGGCAGCGACGCCAGCGCCGCCACCACGTCGTCCATGCCGCCCACCACGCGCCCCACCACCAGGTTGGTCGCGTCCAGCTCGGGCGCGGGGCCCAGGGTGATGGTGAAGGCGGAGCCGTTCGGGGCCTCCCCGGCCACGTTCTGGACGGTCACCTTGGGCACGGCGTTTGGGTGGTGCCGTGGGACGCGGGCGTGTGGTGCCGGGTCATCCGCATTGACAGGCCTGGGCGCAGCTCCCGTTCGGGGTGTGGCGCTCCATCTCCTGGGGGCGGAGCAGCCCCACTGCCAACCTTCACCACTTACGTTGGATAGTTTGTGTACCAACTTCAAAGTTCCTTAATGCCTCATATTCATCTCAACTCAAATCCGAAAGCTTGGCATTCAAATCAGCCTCGACCGCACCCCAAGCCACCTACCAGCTTCCCCCGAATAGCGACCAGCTTCTCGGTGACTTCCCGCTCCTTCTCGAGGCCGACGATGATGCTCACCAGCCCCGCTGCGTCGTGGCGCAGCGCAGCGGGCGACGCCATCTCCTCCTCCAGCGCCTTGGGGTGGGGGCAGGGGTGATTTCAGGGCTGGGCACGGCGCGCAGCCGGCATATCTTGCATGCGCCATGGGGCAGCGGGCGCGATGCCAGTTCTGTTGTGCATGCTTCGGCACGCCATGCCATGTAGTCAACGCGCAAAGGGGCGGCGCCAGTGCATTTGGCCCAATTACCACGGCGCAGTTTATACTGGGGCCAAGCGAAACAAAGTGGCTCAGGCAGGCAGGAGGAGGTTGGGTGGGGTGCGGCTCACCTGCGTCGAGTCGCCGCCGGCAATGGGCGAGTAGCCATCAGCAGAGTACGAGAGCGACTTGACGCCCTCGCAGCGCACAAACGCCTCCGTCACGCGGTCAAACCTTGGGATGATGGGGCGAAGTGCAGGGTAGTGCGGCAGTTGCGGATTGTGGTTGATACTTGCTATGCGGCGAGCTGCTGCCGAGATGCTATAGCGTGCGGGCGCTGAACTTGGCAATGCCACCCCTGCCTGGTCGCCTGTTGAATGCAGCCTCTGCCGCTGTCGTGCAAGCACCTGCTGCCTTCATCAGCGGCAGCAGGTCAGGATTTGCTGTCCCTTCGGAGCACACGCCTTGGGCTGCTCAGGCGCGGCCGCTCACCTGGCCAGCCTGTAGCCGACCCCCTGCTTGCCCTCGGACAGGTCAGCAAACCGCTGGGCGCCAACAGGCGCAACGGCCGGCAGCAGCTCGATAGTAATGCGTCCCAGCTTCTGACCCTCCAACTTCACATCCAAATAGACCTGTCGTACGGAAATCAGGGTGAGCGTTGGGCGGTCGTACACTTTGCGAACCAGTTTGAGGGAAACGCCGCTTCATGTGTCAGGTGGAGGTGGGGGTGGGGAACAGGAAGTCCATCGTTTGAGCGCAGGTGTCTGCTGGCCTGCTGCCAATGTGCCGAGCGCAGAGAGCAACCCCTGCCCTGCCCCGTCGTGGCACGGTTGCGATGCTGTGCCTCCCGCGCCCCGGAGCCGCACCGTCTGCCCGGTGCGTGCGCTGCTGCTGGCAACTGGGGCGGGGGCCACCTCTTCCACTGCCGCAGCCACGGGCGCCTCCACCGGAGCGGCCTCCACCTCCAGCGCCGCTGCGATTCCCTCATCATCTGCGTAGGCTGGCTTAGCCACCAGCAGGAGGGCGGACGCCACAGCACCCTCGATCAGCACGCGGCGGTTCGGCGCAGCGGCGCTGCACGGGGCGGGCCCTCTCAAATGCGGCCGCTGCGCCGTAAAGGGCGCATGGCGCAGTGTGCGGGTGGAAGATGACAATTGGGTGGCGGGCACGGCCCGAGGGGGCTGCATTGTGTCTCAGCGCGCTGGGACGACCCGGGCGCGGAAATGAGATCTTTTGATCGTGTTGTGGCTACAGCACTGGTCAAACTCTTGAGTGTGACGAAAAAACACAAGAAATCACCTCATTGTGTCAGGCGTGCAGCTAGGCCCTGCTGATGCTGTAGGCACAGTGAAGGTGTCACCAACCGGCACCCTGAAGTCATCAGGGGCATTTGCTCAATGCTGGTTGCCCGTGCCTCTCAACTCAAACAGTTGTGCTTGCTTGCCCGTGCCATACCGTTGGATCTTAACTTGACGGTGCCATACCAGCAATTGTACTTCATAGTATGGCATGGCAACACAGGCTCGGGCTTTGGTGTATGGACAGTTGACCGGCGCATGACTGCTGTGTAGGATATTTACCGAGTGTTCATGTATTTGTTGAGTTGACAGTAGAAAGATGCAGGCAAAACTCTGTGACTGTCAACAACAGTTGATCCATCTAACAAGATGCCGGCCCGTTTCATTGCACGCATGGTGGATGCTGGTGGAACAGGAGAGCCCTGGGACAAAAAGGTTCCGCCATGTGAATGCTAATGCAGCGATTTTGCCCAACAACAGACGTGTTTAATTCACAGGCGGCCCCCACGTTGACCACCGCGCCCTGGTGCCTCATGCATCATAGGCCACAACACAAATCTGTGGATGGCCCGCGAACGCCGTTTTGGATGTGAAGATTGGCATATTAGCAATCTCAGCACATTCAAGGAGCTGTATGTTGTCCTGGTGGCTGGCCGTCCTCAGTCTGTACAGGTGGCGGTGTCACCTGGTCACGCCGCACTTGCACGAGCGAGCCCCAATCAACAGTCAAGAGCTACCATTACTTGCAGCACTCGCATTTGCAGCTGTAATCAAACAAACATATAAGCGCCGGTAGTCAGCCGTTTCAGGCCGGTCCCACGCCAGGCCGTCGATCATGGGGCCAAAGTCGAAGGCCAAGTCGCCCAGGCCGCCGACACAGGAGATCGGTGAAGACGTGAGTGATGATGGCAGATAACTTGTGTGTCGTTGTCGGGTATGCACCCCTTCGGGACAGCGGACTGATCTGCGCCACCCGCGCCATGCGGGAGAGCCTCCTCATACACATTGGTCGCGTGAGGACATTACATTGCCCTACGTCACAACGGCGGCGTGCAACATGCAGCCAGCATGCCTGCCGGGTGGAGTCGCGAAGCCGTGCGCCGCCAATGCAGCCGGCGCCATGCCACAGCGGCGGCAGCTGGGCGGCGCTCTGCCGCGCTGCGTGCAGGTCCAGAACCCCTCCTCCCCCCATAACACAGGTGCTCACCAAGGTCACCGCTCTGAAGAACGAGGGCAACAAGTGCTTTGCCAAGCGCGACTATGAGTCGGCGCTGGAGCAGTACGAGACGGCCGCCCAGCTCCTGCCGGAGGCGGCGCCGGAGCGGGTGGACCTCATCTGCAATAGGGCGGCCTGCTACTACCAGATGAAGCGGTGGGTGGCCGGCCGGGGTACGAGGAAGCAGGCATGCCGGGACCGTGCCCACACCGGCAGCGCCAGCCCGAGGAGCCGTCGGCGTGAGCGCGCATGGCGGACCTGCTGCTGGAAAGCGCGCTCGCAATAGCAAGGGCCCCGTGCCACGGCTTGCCCCCCCTGCCAAAACCGCAGCTTTAAAGATGCGGCGAAGGAGTGCACGTCTGCGCTGGAGCTGAACCCCTCGAGCGCCAAGGCGCTGCAGCGGCGCGCGCGCAGCCTGGAGCAGCAGGGCCTGTACAAGCAGGCTCTTGCGGACATCCAGGCGGTCAACAGGTGGGTTTGACCGGGCCTCCCGGAGGGCCGCAGGGGCGGCGTGCACCCGGGTCGATGCGGAATCCTCGTGATCAGAACTTTCGCCGCTCAAGTAACGGCAGCGGCTGAGCACGTAGCAGCTGGAGTAGGGAAGCGCCAGGTGTCGTCACGACGGCGACGGCAGGGGGCGCTGCTGCCACAGCAGCCGCCGCAGCTGGGACGGCGGTGCCCAGGCAGCTGGACGGGTGGTCGAGTCTCGCTTGCCAGGCGTGCCGACCCGTGCCCGCCCGCCCACGCACGCGTCCATCCGCAGGTCCGAGGCGGCAACCGACGAGTCCCGCGACACCGAGCGCCGCC